CGAAACGTCTATTCCAATAACTTAGGTGCAGAGAACACTGGGTTACATAATCTGATTCGCGTTACTGCCCTTCATGCTAGTGGTTTTGGATTGCAGTTACATAAAACCGCTTCGTTCTGAACGGATGTTCGCAACAAATGGCTTCGAAATTCATTCCGGATAGTTGTCCCTTGTATTCCTTCTTTTCATTTCATTTGCTTTTATTGAATATACAAAGATACAATTTCAGGAAGGGAGAAACGGCCAATCAAAGGACTGCCATTCAACACACAATGGGGAAAGTCAGGCGTTGGTGGTGAGATTCGAACACATCCCCGGGGTGAAGATTTGGTGACGTTATCAACGGGCCACCACCGCCGGTTTTCGATCCAGTTGTATTATGTTTGGATATGCCTTTGATAGACTTTGGTTTGTTGTGCCAATTTTAGTGCCTCTAAAACTGCAGATGAACTGACTAACTATTTGTGAGACAAAATGTGACGGATGACTAAAATGACGGTTTTCTAAAACAGTAGTTGGTAGGATGAACGTCTGACGATGCACTTTGATTTCGGAGCGAAATTTGTGACACATCATTCAGTACCAGTCCTCTTTATAGCCTAGTCAAATGCCAAACGCATTCTTCTGTCTTATCCGGATTGGGTTTTGTCAACTGTGAGCGTTGATAAAATTGGCCGGATAACCATTATGCTTCAGTGTTGTGAAACGGAAGTTAACTTTCTTTTAGAGTACGCTAGCCGAATAAATCTCTGTTACCTTGGTAGGAGGCTCTTGCGAGTCCACATTTTTACGCGATTGATGTAAAGCTTTCAAAATGTAAGTATGGGACCCGTTTGATTTCCCCTTAGGTTTGGTGTTTAAGAATTGAAACAGATTTGTCGATTCGTCAGAAATAACAATCGCCATGTACGAAATTGTATTGATATGAGACATTTTTATATTCAATTCAATTGTAAGATGAAAACACCGTTTACAATCACGACGAGACTGCATCTTGACGTGATGTAATGCCTGGCGTGCTTCCATGCCCCTACGAGCTACACAGGATGGCTCCTCACAGCCGCAGATCCAATCATGCCCGAAAGGTCAATGAGTGGAGGCCAGGCAAAGATCAGTCTCACAATGCCACTTGCTTCGGCAACTCCTGGCTTCCTTCTTCTATCCACACCAGCCCCTGGAGAGGCTACTCCAGCAAATAAACACGGTGAGAAGCAGTTTACCGGTTAAAAAACCCTCGCTAGATAGACGTAGGAGCGGAGTACCTGGGGCTTCCTCTCGACGGTGTGAGAAGTCTTCGCACTTCAATGGACAACTACCGCCCGCCCAAGCTGGGCAGCCCCCAGCCAATAAGGTGCTGCCCCGTCCACGTTCCGCTTGTCTCATTGGGTGCATGAGGCTGAGGGNGAGGGCCGATCCCGAAAAGCGGACCGATAATCAACGCACCTGCGAACAACACATTGAACCGAAATCTGAAGGCCTTGCGTGACAGATCTCCAGAAGCCCCCACATGGATGCTTCCTTCACGCTCCCGCGTTGGATTTACACCCCACTGCCTTGTGGTTCAGACTTTTGAGTCAAAGGCTCTGGTTAGGGTTCCCAAAGAAAAACCCCTTCGTCGGTGTGGGCTACCACGAAGTATGTCGTGCCCTAAAGTCTTAGGCACCCATTTTGAAGACTTTCCTTCGCATAAGTCTAGTTCTTTCTCTCAATCCCGAATAATCCCAGATGTCTCCTGTTTACACCATCCATCGAATATCACTCATCGTTTTACCAGCAAGACCAAACAATCTGAAGTAATAAAGTTCCTAAATCCGAAATTCCCTCTTCACTTAGCCGCGTTCAATGTTCGCGCACTCTATCAGATTGGTCAACAAGTTGCATTAGCTAGAACCCTTGAAACTTTCAATTCAGATGTATGTTGTGTCTCCGAAACACGCATACAAGACTCTACTTCCATTATCTCTCTGCGTTCTCCTGGTCCAACCTCCAGTTCAGGCTTCACCCTTCGTGTGTCAGGCGATTAGGCGTCCGAAGCCCGCGGTGTTGCTGGGGTCGGGATTGCGCTAAGTGTCAAGGCTGAGCGCTCGCTTCTTGACTGGATTCCAGTCAGTAGCCGACTGTGCGCCGTACGCCTCAACGGTTCAGCGCGGGTCAACAGCTGCAGAACGAAGCGTCGATGTCTATTCATGGTATCGACCGACGATTGCAGTTCACCGGAGATGAATGATGAATTCTACAAGGAACTTTCTCAATTACTCCAAAGTGCTGGATCAACAGACATGGTAGCAGTCGCCGGAGATTTCAGTCCTCAAGTTGATTACCTGGAGGAATCAGAGAGGCGTCTTGGTGGACCACACACAATCCCAGAGTGCACGCGTGAGAACCAGGCTGGTTTTTGACCTGGTCGAGCACATCTTCACTTCTCGCCAAGATATGGACCGCCGAAGTTCTTTTCGTAGATCCACCATCTCTGTCTTCCTCGATTTGGAAGCTGCTTTCGTCTCAGTCGATCGCTCTAAACTCCGGCGCTGCCTACCCTGAAGGGTGTGCTCGAGAAGTTTGTTTCAATATTACGATTCCTTTATACTACTAGCGGAAGTCGAGTCCAAGCTTACGGTACTTTTTCACCCGAGTTCACCACGGAAAGCGATGTTCATCAGGGTTGTCCTCTCCGTTTCTACTTATCTTTGTTATAGACTTGATTATGGAAACAGCCCTATCCTCGTACGAGGACAGCGGTATCGATTTACTTCCAGGTTGCAGGCTGTGTGATCTCAATTATGCAGACGACATTGTGCTGCTAAGCGAAGATCCAGGTAAGTTGCAAGCATTTCTGGATAGTTTGAGTGCTAGTGTGTCCATGTTTGGTATGCGTTTCGCACCTCAAAAGTGTAAAATTGTACTACAAGACTGGATTGACCCAGCAGCCAGTCTCACTCTTACTGGAGAAATGATAGAGCAGGTGGATAAGTTTTGCTATCTGGGCAGCTACATCTCACCTAGTGGACGCATCATGGATGAAGTGTCAGCTCGCATACAGAAGGCTCGATTGGCATTTGCCAATTCGAGACATCTAGGGTGACATTCGGTTGTCTTTGAAGAGTCGAGTAGATGCTGCAGAAGTCAGACCAGTCCTGCTCAATGGTGCAAAGAATTGGTGACTAGGGGATTAGGATAAAAATAGGCGTGCTGTTTTCTTCGAATACCGCCGTCTACGTCGCACTGCACGAGTCAGGTGGGGGAACCGGACATCCACAAATCAATTAGTAAGAGGTCGACCTTCTGTCATAGGAAATGAGGAATGAAATGCGACAATCGAACTAATCGGAGATGACCGCTAAGGACTTCAGGAGAATGATATCACTGATGGTGAACATTAAAAACCGACATTACTGTGAGACCATGTACCGGGTCTTGAGAGACATCAGAAACAGAGAAGCATGGAAACTACAGAAGTTGACGTCAAAAAGCAGTCCTGGATTGAGACGGACGCACTGCGCTGTGGAGCTGCCTCTCCTTGAGTAGTGTCACGGAAGAGTTTATTTCATTCTTACGATCCCCGAACCGCAAGCCTCTTTTTCGCCCGAGTGTAACCGAAAAGGCATTGTGTTAGGGTGACTCTCTCGTGTCTTCCCTTCAACTCGTAATGAATATGATTCTGTTCCCATCTGTGTGCGGCGATAGATGAGTCGAAAATCCACCAGGTAGAGAGTTGGTCAATCCGGAATGCACAGACAACACTGCATTCGTGAGTGCACATTGATGTAAGTTGCGGACTTTTCCAAATAGTATTAGTACAGTGTTGTTCCATATGCCTGGTTCACCTTCAAAGTCGAAAATGTTGTTGCAGCATTGGATTGGTTGGTATATGAACATTATCGTAACCGAGGAAGAAAAAAGAAAGTAGACCAACTGGATAGTTGCGTAGCCACCAATCACCTGTCAGACGAACCTCAACGTGTTGACACAAACAGAGGGATCGAGTGGCGTTTGAAAACTACAGATATCCATGGTACATGACTTGGTCGATATGACAAGAGACAAATAAACCGTGTTCGAACATCACTGCGTACGACGCATTGCTCGAGTATGGAGTAACTTAACGACATAAATCGAGGTTAGGTGGAGAGCTACAGGTTGTCGAGGTCGCAAACTGGAGCAAGTGATTAACCTTCATAGTTAATCAATGGAGGCTGTGCCATTTTTGACGTGTCACTAAATAAGTTATCTAGGTGTATGATATTTGTCGAGGCAGGTAATGGGCGAAGGGAAAAAATTGAACAAAGTAAGACAGTGCATAAGGGCAGAAAAATGTAGATCGGGGAACTTGGAGATGTATGTCGGTTGGGCTTCCTGATTAGGGACATAAGGATAAGTGTAATCGAGAGTAATATAGTTGTGTGGCTCTCACACAACCTCCCAATTTTCCCCATTCGCATGCGGTATGGTTACCTGATACTAGATATAATTTTCCACCTCTTTCATCTGTCTTTAGTGAAATGGACCAGTTAAAACACGGCAACCGAAACAGTTGTGTGAAAGTGCAAGGTGGATGGTTGTATGAACTGAACAAGATGTGAGGTAGTGGATAAGCCTAGATGGAGGATCGTAGACTGGAATCAATTATTTCCCAACCGTTCATACCGACCAACACTCCAACTAGAATCGAAATGTCTAACCTGGAGCACTTAGAGATTGAATTTACCAGCCTTTATTTTTCCATGTTTCACAACTTCCAACTTTCGCTTGTCGAAAGCTATCCTGAAAGGCACGATGAGTCACAGAGGTGAACAAGACATCACAGTATCATGATTCAAGCCCATTGAAATTTGGAGGAAGTAGGGACTGCAGATGTTGCCCCAACTTCTCAAATTTATACAGTTCAGTAAACGCTCAACCAGAAATTATTTGGCATCGATCAACAGGTACTTGAAAGTGTCCCGGAATGAACGGGGCTAATGAACAGTCGACATATAGACTTCCTTTATTCCGTTTCGAACTCACTTGAATGTTTCCATCTCCGCCAATTTCTCACGTAAACGCCGACTTCGTTTGAAACTAGACGACGAGCCAATGCTGGGACTGTGTCCAGAGTTCAAAGACAACAAAGAGCTGGGACGATTGAGTGTTTTCTCTGATCCGTAACCGGATTCGGCAACTCGATGTCGTTCGATGGCTGACATCCATACGTCTCGTTGACCTGCACTCAGACCACGTAAATACCAAATAGACTCTCCGACACGTACCTGCAGGCGGTGAAACAATGACAGAAGAGAAGAAGACGCTGTACGAAACGGATTATGCGGACAGTGGGTATTTGTATGTGTATCTTATACACCTTTTCCGACTGGCTGATGGGCGATTTCAATCTCAAAACACTTGTAATAGTCAGGCTCCCTGGGGAAGTTGGTCAATTACAAAATAATGTTTAAAATGCTGAAAGAGTGACAGCGATGCGGGTTTTTGCAGCTCCAAAAAACAGAGGCTGATATGGATCCTCAATATCACGGTCGTTTGGTAACGAAATCAGTTTTTGGAATACATACTTTGACCAACATTATTCGAGGTTTTCAGTAGAATAGCAGTAAATCTCGACTTTTAACCACAAGAATAGAGAATCGGACATGCTTCGTAATTTTTGGCGAAGGTCAACCTCATCTCTAAAGTTTAGTTTACAAAAAGGAAAAGCAATCTGTCTCACCATTCGACAAAACTGCTACTGTCTGAGTCAGCATTTATCGCAACCGCGAATAGTGGTGATGATACTCAGATAATCACAGGCAAATCAACAAGAATACTGAGCCTTAAAATACTTTGAATTCCAGACCGATGAATTTCTTATATTGTAGATTTATCGATTCTGAATTCAACGAACGACCGTAGTTCACACATATCACAAATGATTCAGTGGTCATTTCAGATGAATCGACCGCTCATTGAACATGCTGGCTGAATTGAGTACAAGAAAGCGACATCTTTAGACGGGTAAAATACACGAAAAATCCTACAACCCTCCACCCGGAAGCCCACAGAGACACTAGAGAACTGTGTGAATAATGACTCAGCGCCTCAAATGTGATAATGGTCATGATACACCGGATTGTATGTTCTTTTTTGTGTTGATATTAATTATGCTATATGCACTAGGGTGCACACAGAGTTCTCAGTAGGGTGTTTCCATAGCCGCTAAATCGTGCGCTTACACGTATGCGTATGTTTGAACATTTACCGCCACATGACCGAACGCATGAGAACGCAAAATTCTGATACATTACTATTTTTGGCACTCCTCAGGACCGGCAAATGGCATGTACTGACCGAACTTGAGTGTAGCGGTAACAATAATGCGTTGTAGCACGATCGAGGATAGAGGATGTGAGCTTTTTTAGGAAAAAATGCAGTTTGAAAAAGAATAGCTGCGACTTTTATATCGCATCACTTATTGGAAAGCATCAAAGAAGGAATAAAATGGAGTCCGCTGCGGATGAGTGATGCCAGATTGAACGTCAATTTTGAGAAAAATAAGCGGAACATAGGGTACACAGGGTAGGGACAAAATAAAAGGACAATACCTGTGTCAAGCTTATGAGTCAGTTTTATAAATTAGTTCTTAGGATTCTTTCTGCTAAGGTTTGGTCATCCCATAAATGATGCACTACCAACTATCGTCAAAATCCAGAAATCGTACCATTATGAAGCATTTAACCGACAGAAGCAACGTAAGTGGATACTATTAGATATTTGTTGCGTCTGGTGAAGGGTAATACTGTATCCATTCCCGTGAATGAGAGCCAAAACATTGATCGTTGAGTGGAATAGATAGTCAGGGTATCGCAAAAGGACAATCAATACATACCTGTGGTTGAAATACAAAATTGCATTATTGTAAAAGTTACCTTTTACTTTTCCATGAACCACACTGAAATATTAGTCAATCGGATTAAAAATTGGTCTCTAAGGTTGAACATATTACCAGCTGTCCTAGCGCCTCACCGACCATTGGTAGAATGAGGCACTATCTGAAAGAAACACCGCTTCAGTCTTTGGTTGTTGCCACATTTGAAGAACATCCCAGTGTAAGCGAGACAGGCAAAATTATACTTTTAGTGAACTTCTGACAACTAATTCAAAGCTGTAAACCCATGCTGTTGAATATTGAAATACTACTTTTCAGTACAAAATGAATGATTTTCCTGTGTTCTTTCTTGTCGGAGGTGGAAATCTTAAAGTGATTCATGATGAGTTGGCAAGTCACCTAAGTACAAACATGCCCTGAGCTCATGTGTAAGGGGGTGTCGGACAGGTGGATGCTATAGTCAGTGACCAAAAGAGGACTGAAAACCTGTTTTATGCTGATTTTTCATCCCACCCTCGTTGCCAAATATATTACGTATTCTATGGTAGCATTAAACGCAGCACAGAGTCTCTCAGACAGATTACACAGTAAAACAGAGAACTCGTTAAATAAAGTTGCACATAAAAATAGTCGACCGAGACATGAGCACAGGACGGCACAAGTAAGTCCCCTGTGACCATTACTAAACTATTAGGAAACATCCAGGTAAACATGACAGATTGAGAAGCATACTGAAATCCCTGGGCCGCGATCAAACAACGGCTGTCATGATTTAAGTTTCAAAAACCCAAAGCAATCTGCTTCATAGATTTTCATGCAGTATTCGATTCCTTAGATCGCTCTAGAACATATTTCTGGTCAATGATTTACCGGTTAATCTTGTTAACCTCATGAGATTTCACAACTCCATGCATATTTACGGCGAGAGGAAACCCGTGTTCGAAAGTAACAAAACAACTCGAAAACAAGATAGTTTTAAAGAATAATAACGTCTATAAAAAATACTCGACGAAAATTAATAAAAAGGATTTAGTCGCTTTTCCAGCTTACTTTCACTGCCGATCAATGGTTGGCATTACCGTTGAGTTAATTATCTTTACCGCTTCGATTTTCCAGTGAGAATGATTCTGCAAACTGAACTATTGCCCGTCGGCGCATATCCCGAATGAAAAGCTCCCTGGGGGTTCTAGGTTGACTGAGACCCTGCTTACACCCATCAAGGGTTATTACAAATAATTTGATAGTTATCTTGTACAGGAAACAGACAAGTGCTCGCTAGTTTTATCTCAGAAATTTGCACGGTTGTTCTTTTGCTTTAAAACAGTCTTTTTTAGTTATTTCATTACTTTCCTTTGTGTATCCATTGAACGTCATTTCCCCTTTTGACCTTAGCCGATTGACCGATTCTCATGTATGAAGTCCTACGATCGACCGAGACCAAAATGCCAACTTCATGTCGTCTTGTCCTACTTTCTGACTGTCCCTGTTGTTCCATCAATATAACTTCGCTGTGTCCAGCTAGCGGGATGTCTACTCTTAGGTCTACCCTTTGCACCATCATCCACCGTTGTTCCGGGTAGCAGTCGTTTTGTGATTACAACCTAGGGATTTCTCTATGCCCGCTCTGTTCGTATTAATTTCAGATCAGGCTAAAGGTGTCTTGTCATTGTAGTTATAGCCTAACCGGATCAAATATTGTTTTGTGCTTACGCCTCGGTCAACCACTGCGTGAGTGGTATCTCAGAGTTAGAGGCTTGTATCGTTTTTACTATGATGCTCTGTAGTATCTGGAGGTCTTTGGGTTGTGTCTGAGCGATACGCCAAGTAGCTGTAGGAGGACATTGTGTTGTGCTCCAAGTTGTCACAGAACACAACATTCCAACAACTTGAGTTAATTTCATTTTCTAATTGGTGAGAAAAACACCTCCAGAAGAAACCCACAATTTTAGGCGGACAACCGTTTCCAATAACGGTATGATTATGAGTTATAGAAAACAACGGTTCGCCTGAAATTATGCTCTAAACGCGAGCATGGACATATTTCGGAATTTGAAACCTACAGAATAAGTTGGTGACAAGTAATGAAGATTATTTCAAAACTAACAAGGGTAACAAATGCGTCATGAACTGTACAATTGGGGAACTAGGAAAGAATAGTTGAAACAAATTACGATCACAAGATGTTCAATTTAACCAGGTTTAAAAAATAAAGAGACTGGAAGACTATCAAAACGTGTGGTAAAAATAAACTGAGCAGATAACGTGAACCACAGCAATGAGCTCCGCTGTTACTTTTGTGGCCGCTTTAGCGCCCTTGCAGATGATGGTGATGAGTGAAGAACTGTACCAAGCGAAGATGAGATCTTGAAGACGCTGAGTGAAAACAACAATCGAATGATTAAACGAAATATGGGCGACCACGTACTCTTCAATTTTGTGATTTATGACTTGTGTACACACTAACAATGCAAAACTGTATGGGGTCAAGCAGGAGCCTGGTTTTAACTCTACTGAATGACCTGAACTTCATTGTTTGACACACCTGTGTGTTGAGTTCTCTCTTACTTTATCCCCTAATTCATCCTTCAATTTTCATTGATTTGAATGTGTACTTAAGTAGTTCGCATTAACGCAATGCATACCGGAAATGGAGAACGAAAGAAGTGCAGCAAAACGATGAATTGATTTGAAAAACAGCGCAGAAAAATTTCTCGCTATGGAGGACATATCTACGAAACTGGATCACATTCTGTTCATTCAATCACTTTGTTTTTACTTTTATAGAACGTTAAAATATATAACCGTTGTTCAACAAGAAAAAAACAGTCCATCAAACGCTATCTGCGAGGGGGACGAGAACGTAAATTGGGATTCTGACAGTACGACTTGGACGCGTTTGACCAGAATAAGTAGAGCACACATCCTATAATTCCTATGAGGTGTCGTGGTTTAAAAACTCCCAAAGTACGAGAAGAAGGGCGGAAAACCTTTGCTGTATGACTGCTGTCGCTTTCCCGACTAAAAGCCAAAAGCGATGGAATATGAAAAAACGGTATCAGAACTAGAGTGGGTATGGAGGGTTTCGCGGGAGAGGATTTAATAAGATGTTCCCACGTGAACCGCGTTCACAGGTGCCGAAAGTAAATTCTCTGAACTCAATTATTCACTCTCAATAGAACTACTAAACCGCTGAACAGTCAATCACATCCACCACTGACATTCTTTTGCCCACGATAGAAAACGAAATGTGCAAACGTATATGCCGATTAATTTTACACAAACGAAATGTAGACAGCTTAGGTGTTTCAGTTTGAACAACCATCAACCATGCACTTTCGTGCACCCGCTTTCGTTGCTGTCACTTGGGTGCTATTAAG